CACATTGCTCAATATTATCTAAAAAAGAAATGTAAGTACAAAATTAAAAGTATTGTTGTTAAAAAAGATAATATGTTAAAAAAAAAAGTTTGTCTAACTATAATAAAAACTACAAGGTTGGAATCTTATACAACACTTAGTAAATGTTTTATTCTTTCTTCAAAACCTTATCTTTGTTTAATAATAGATATTTATTTGGAACCTAAAAATTACAAAGCCTTTCTCTACGAAGATTTAAAAGTTTGAATTAGATTTTTAAATAAAGATTTTGTTAAAAGATATAAATTATATTTAATTAAATAAAATCTACTTATATATGTAGAAGTGATAGATGGTTGTTTGTTGTCATCTAAAGATGTTATTCATAAAAATATTTCTATAAATATACCAACAAATAGTCATAATACTTTAATTGTATTCAATATCATTAAATCTCTCTTTTATCAAGTCATTCTACATTTATTGTAGCTAAAGAAGTATAACCCTCAAATAGATCAGATTTCTTGAAGTTTCAATTTTTTCTAAAGTATAATTAAGAGTTTTATTAATTAAGTAAAAATTTATAATTCTAATACAACCAAATTCTTACTTATAGATGGGGAGCTTTCATGCATGCCATAAAAGAAGGATCATCATTTTTTATATATACTACATCCAATTTTGATAGTAGAAAGACTTCAAACAACATTCTAAATCAATATCAAAAATATTGTAGAAGTTAAGAGAATATTAAGTGGATTATTGCATGTTCATACTTATTATTATTTTAAAATATGATGCATGTGAATGTATATATATATATATATATATATATATATTGAGATAGATAAAAACTAACTAAAAATATTTTGAAATAATTTTGGTTTTCAAAGAAAAGAATATATCAAATTTATTATTAAAAATTTACTAAATAAAAAAACCTTTGCTAATTGAATAAGAATTTATAAATTATTATTATATATATATATATATATATATATATATATATTTAAATTAAGATTTCTAAATAAAACGTCTTTTATTTAAATTATATTTCATTGAAATTAATAATTATATTTTTATAATCTTTTCTTCTTTGAGGTCATCAAGCTCATAAGGTTTACATTACATCAAATTGTAATAACTCAATATCTCTTAAATAGAATATATATATATATATATATATATATATATATATATATATATATATATCAATCTTGATAATGATATATTATTAAAAAAAATAAAGAAAAATAATTTAATTTTTTAATAGATTACATTAGATCATATTTAAATTATTTGATAACTAATTTTAAAATTTAGTTTATTGAAACCTTAAAAAATAAATTTTATCAAATGGTCACAATATTTTGTTTGAATATATATTTATATTTATAAATACAGATGTAAAAAATATTGATTAAGTAAATAAAATTAATTAGATTTTTTTAACTTAGTAGCATGTTTATTTCTAATAGATAGTTTTTTCTTATGGTTTAAAAATTATAAAAACTTAAAAATTTCATATTATTTTAACCTTAATTGAATAAAAATTATGTTGGATTATTTTATATTAGCATTTTTTATCATTCTCTACCATGTTATAAAAAAACTAATAATTATTTTATTGTATAAATTATATTCTAAGTTTTTAAACCAATAATATTTAACTTACAAATGAAATATTCAAATAATAATAAGATTATAAGTAGATAGAAATTAATATTTTAATATTTTAATATTATTGTATAATTTAAATATAAATAAAATAAACATGGCAATATATAACTAATAATATCAAAATATTAAGTGGTTATTTTTATACTTTAAAATATCCACTATAGATAAAAAATGCATAAATGATTTCATAAGGTTTAATAATTTGATTTCATAAGGTTAATAATTTTAAATTACATTGAAATATAAATATATATATATATATATATATATATATATATATGTATTTATATATATTTATATATATTATAAAATAAAGATGTAATTTATTACTTGTCATTTTTTAATTTTAATTAACATATCTAATTTATGCCCTAACATCAAAGAAAAAAATATAATAACAATTTTTTGATGAATATATATTTCAAATGGTAGTATCTAATATTTATATAACTATAAAAGAATTGAGACATCTAGTTACAATAAAAATATAAATATATGCACATTTTTTCTTTTTTTATGTATTTTTTAGTGTATATATATAAAAATAAATGAAACAATAAATATTAATCACTATCCAAAGATATATGCAATCATAATTCATTAATATGATTTTAACATATTCTTTCTTTTGTATTCAATTGCAAAATAGTCAAATGACAAGTAATATTAAAAAGTGTTTATTACTAGTTTTTTTTAGACTAATACAAACATCAATATACAATCTTCTATGCTTCATTAGATTTCTATCATCTAATTCAAAGAAATGTATCACTAAAAGAAAAAATAAATATTATTTTTTAAAAATAATTAAAATTTTAAAATACTTTAATACCAAATAAAAATATAGAAGTGAATGATGTATTTATAAATTATTCAAATTTCATATATTTCACAATAAATAAACTATATCCAATAAAAATGTACCCTAATAAAAATGCTAAGGAATATGAATTATTTAGCATAAGGAGTTTGCAATTGATGTATGATATATACAATATGCATGCTTTTTCAATAAAATAAATTATTACTTATCTATTTTGGAGGTGCTTAATAACCAAATGTTTTTTAAAAAATATTTTACAAGAATTTTATATAACTGTGGATGCCAATGAGCTACACATGGATTTTATTGTTCTTTAAACTTTCAACAAAAAAATCTTTGGAAACAAACTCCAAATTTTTGAAAAAACATGAAGGAATTATGACCTCCTCTCGTATGTGCTCACATTTGGACAAATTGGATCTAAAATACTAAGTTTGATCAAATTGAATTTGGATGTGACAAGATAGACCCTTCAATTTGAATACTCATGTATGTGGTGGAATTATATTCCGTTTCTAACCATTGAATCTCCTTTCTATACATTGAATTTTGAACAAATACAACAGATAAAATTACCAACATTCAACAGGAAATATATTTTTACTTACATTTCTGAAAGAGAACAAAACAAAAACAACTTAAAATGTAATAGATATACTATAATCAATATAAGATATTTTTGAAGTTGAGATTGACATAATTGTAAACTTAAGAGATCGTGCATGAGGTGAATGTAAACACAAAGATGGAATTAGAATGCCAGAAAAAAGTGTATAGCACATGCATGATCGGTTGCTAAATAGGACCCATTTAGGTGATTAGGGTGAGTTGGGTGTGGGCAGAGCTCCGGAGTCAGGACCCACAGTGTGGTTCACACCTTTCAGCGGTCGGAGCTATAATTAGCCGCCCTTATAATACCCACTCTTAGCATGGGCTCCAATCTTCAAAGCTTTGCTGTCTAGTGTTGCAGAAATCTCCACAACATAACAGCTGACTGTATTGTCTAATACTTTTGGTGCTCAGTTCAAGAAGTATATTAAGTGTAGCGGTTTGGCACTGTATTCGAAACTGTGAAATGGAATACTTGCTTCTTCTACCAGGTTATATTATAACTACCAGGTAATGTAGGTGGAAAAACAAAAATGTAATGGATATACTAACATTGTATTTCCACCTACATTCTGAAACATAACAAAAAAAAAAACAAAAACAAAAACAAAAATGTAATGGATATACTATGATCAATATGAGAAATCACAAACGTGGCATTGGAAGCGAGAAATGTTCAATGCGGTGCGCAAGGGGTGAGCAGGACTAGAAGCTGTGATATCCTGCTTGGCAGACTTGTTAGTCGATGATGCATCGTTTGGTACAATCCCATTGGGACTGCACAATCTGTGTGATACGTATTGCCTACGGTCTCAGTTGCTTACGGAATCCTCTCTGAAAAACGTCTTGCGAGGCAGTCAATTTTGCCCCAAAGGTTGAAGCTCTAGATTAATCCGGCGAAAGGATCTGCCTGAAGTTTCTTTATTCTAGAATCCTCGAACATAGATTGTTTGTGTTTTCCAATCAACCTATCAATCGATCCATCAAACTTTTCGTGGAAAGAAAAAGCGAAAGACGATTCAATGAAATTGTGATTTGACTTTGCTCGGTCAAAAAGTAACGGGTCCGATGAGATTCAATTCACAGATTCGGGAGAAGGTATCCGTAAAGTGATTCCAAAGGAAAAAAAACGAGAATAACTCCTTGCTCACGTAATTTTAAACAAAAGTGCTTGGTTTGGTCAAGACGCCAGACACATTAAATTTCTTTGAAAAATCTCATCACTTTAATACAAACCAGAATAATATGTTTAAAGCTGATCAAAGGTTCTCCCACACTACCCCTCCACAGAAAGTAGATAAAAAGCAATAAGTACCCATGAATGTGAGATGGTAAACGCGAAGGAAGTGATGAAAAACGGCCAGAAAACACCAAAATTGGACATTCTATTAATGTGGGGGGTTGGAGATGATAACTCTATTGACTGCCGCCAGTGAGTGAGGATTGCCTGGAGAGTCTGAGGACGGTGAACTAAAGAATGACTTGTTTGTTTTTATACCCTCCAATATAATGAGTGCATGTTTCTCGGGTAGACATGCATATAATAGGAAAACTTTTTCAAGACTTACATGAGTCAGTTTCGTGATAATCAGCGACGTTTTTACTCACCGCTGCCAACTTGCCACGTGATAATTTTCCCAGTGGTCATTCCAAAATTAAGAGAATCGAGTATTCAACGAGTGAAGGCCCCTAACCCGATCTAAGGTAGTTTGTACTCAATATGCGTCCGCCACACGCATAAAATAATACCGAACGATGCAGCTTTTCTAAATTCTGCTTGCAACGCGATGGGAAAGGCTGTAACCCAAACCATGATTTTGATTACAGGAAAGGACTCTGCAAATGTCTTCGACGTCTCCCGGAAAATCCACTAATCAAATACTACGCAACCATCCTTTCGGAACTCTGTTGAAAACTCGGACTCCTCTCCGCTCCTGCTGCTCTCCCAGTGCTCGCCACATTTTTCAGCGGGAGATCCCGAGGGACGATTGACCTGATTAACTCCTGTGACGTGCGTAAAGGGCTGGCGTTACTTGTCCACTAGATTGAGCCACGCGAGGTGTGATCGCTAGCTTCGGAGTTCCATGATCTTCATGGTGATGGACCCCATGTGCAGCCAGTTTCTGCCATAATGTGGCTAACCGCATTCATTCCACCTTCACTTCGCTTCGAAGCTTGAGCCACCTCCAATCTTTTTGCGAGCCCCAGGGCCCGCATCTGGTGCTGATTGCTAGCCCTGGCCCCGCTCGTGCGCTCGTCCGCCCATGGCTTAGATCACCATCGGCTCACTCGCCGCGAAGGTAATATATCTCCCTGGTGTGCTCGCCAGGCCAGATGTGTCCCTTGCTCCAGCCCCGATGACCACCATCATGTGACGCCGCAGCTTCTTGCTGCGTTGCATGGGTGTTTCTTATCAAGGTTAGTCCGTGGTTAGCTGGCCCGCCGTCACAATCTATGAGCTTTGAGTTTAATTTCCAGAACACCGAGCTGGGTAGAATGTGGGCGTTTGTGAGAACTGGCATAGCAGACTTCAGTCCAAACCTCGATACGAATTGTTGCTGGGAATCTTACAGAGGTGGATCTGCTTCTAGGACTGAGCACATGGGTTGAAGACGATAGTTGATGGAAGTTGGGTCGCATCAGTTCCAGCCATGTGCAGAGTGTATTACGTGCTTAGACGATGGTTACTTGAGAGTACTAACACGTCACAGTCTCCCCTGTGAGACATTGTCGTCGTGGGTCGTCGCATTCTGGCTGGGTTCACCCCTTTTGATCGAGTCAAGACGAACGCCGTCGTGACATTGTGATATTATCATTTATTCCCTGGACTATCAAGTCCATTTCATGTAGAAAATAATTGCTTCTTAACCTTTCAAGACTGTGTCCGTCTCCAGTTTGAATGTACTTGAACCTCCCATCCTGTTCTAACCATTTGGGTTCTTCGCACAGGTCCGTTATTATTTTGAATGCCGCCAAGGGAATCCTCGGGCACGCGATTCCAGTGGAGCCTCCCCAACCATCTTAGCAAGTGTCCTACGCAGAGTATTGTCTCTTCTGGTTGTCTGAATCACAGCAAAGCTTAATAGGCGTTGCCTTCCCTCGAGGCTCTCGATAACTTTCCATTCCGTTGCCTCCCGGGCTGCAACATGAAGGTATGGGCTTCAGCGCTGTCTTCGGGCCACCTCTCATTTACATGCCTGCAGCAAGTGTTGGAATTCTTTCAAAGTTGGTGAACGTTTGATGATAATGTTTCTCAAGAACTGAGACTCCTACTTTCGAGTGATGTGTTGCAAAAATCGCGTTAGGTCTCTGTAGACCTTAAGCCGTGAGCACGGATCGAAATGCCCCACCAGTCATTTATCTTAACGGTGTCGTTTATTCCAGTTATTCGGGTGGGGAAAATCCAAGGACCCTCAGCCGCCACTTTTACAGCAAGTCAAGAAATCAGGTGCACTTCATATCATTGTTTGATCTCACATCGAAGTCTCGAACTTCGAAGTTTTCGAAATAGTTCCAGTCGCAACCCGCAGTTTTTGGGTCAGGGTGCAACCTAAATAATGACTTTTTTGGGGTATCCGTTTTTACTCACTGTTCCTATATATGATAATCAAGTAGAGTCCAAGAGTAGCAAGAGGGATTCCGGGTCTTGTTCGAATGTCCTGGCTCAGATCGTGGGCACTAGCTTTTCGTTTTATTTATTTATTTATTTATTTACGTGTCACGTGTTCCTTGCTACTCGTGATTTCTTTTGTGCGTCTGTTCTGGGAAGTAGATTCTACTCTCTGATCCGTTGAGAAGCTTTCATATCTATGTTTTGATTAGCAGATCCATTCGCGAGGAGTTGCAATGGCAGGGACCGTGGCACAGCGGGCATGGGGTCGTTCATGCCTCTCAAGGGTAATAGTACTGGAGTCCGCAAGCAACAGGGACTTTTCGATGTGGAGCAGGAGGATTATCTCCTCGGCTGCGCCACAACGAAGCCCAAGGTCAGTAATATTGATGATCCGGATTCTGACAAAAAGATAGAAGATACATTACAGTTTGTATTTAGCCACGAGCGGGAAGGGCTGCTAGCCATTGGGACATTCGCCTTGGAGCAGCTTCAGTCGATTCGAAACATCATCGATGCGCATCAGAAGTCTGGAGATCATGATGGATACGAAGCTCCCAATGGCGCTTCTGCAATGGACAGTGACATGATGCAAAGCTCCGATGACGAGGATCAGCTGCAACGCAGCTGGCTGGCCGCTAGGAAAACTTGCGACTTGCCCGTATTCGGAGATGTCGAATCATCAAGAATCGAGTCTGAACCAGAACGAGCACCGACAGAGGGGCGATACGCGAGCCCTAATCAGTCCAAGGCCCTCACCCTCTACGACAACGGCAATCGGACGTCAAATGTGGCCGTGAAACCCATCGTCCTCCTCACATCTTTGCCTCCTGAGCTTCGGAGGATACTTGATCCCGCGAGCGCTTTGCTCTACGGAAGGTCGCAGTTGCCCGACCTTGTGCCGCACTGGACCGATTCCGTGCCGCCTCCAGTAGTAGCTAAGGTTGAGGGACGCTCCCTGGACGAGGTCTACTACTCGTCTCATCTCTGCGGGCTCCTCAATTTCAGGAAAAAACCTCAGAAATCTGACAGGACTTTAGCCAAGCGATCAAATGCGCGAGAAATCGTCCCTACTCCCGGCGAAGAGAAGAAATGGATGATCCCTATTGAGCGCGCTGAAGACGAATTAGCAAAGACATCCTTCATGAAGACCTTGGGATCCGCTGGACTACCGTCTCTCGGGAAGCTGGCGAAGCTCTGGAGGGCGACATGCAAACAATCATCTGCGAGGATCGCACCCGAAAGGAAACCGTGTCCACAACAGGCGTCAAAGGTAAAGAAGCTGCCTGCGTTTGTCCCTGCTCTTGAACAGTAGCCGCATGGGAGATCCCTAATTCGACGTAGTCTATCAGCGTCATATAGCGGTGAAGGTGCTCGTCAAAACCACAAGAAGTATAAAAGATACTCTCCATGTTTTTATGGTGACAACATGTTACTGTGATCAATAGCGATGTTGGATAATTCTGCTTTTGTCGAAATTGAATGCAAGCGCCCCAGAGCAAATGATCATTGGGAACTAAACTGTGCATTTAGGGTGCTTTCTATTCAAGACAACTTTCTGAGGTTTTTTGTATCTTGATCCAGGATCCGCTTGACATTCCAAACGAAGAAGTTTTTACTTCTCCTATAGTGAAGCCCTCGAGTCGGTCAGGCCAGCTTTCGAAGGGCGCTTGGAGCCTGAAGGTTGAGGAGTTCAGGAGAAGAGCGCAAAGGCATGAGAGGATGGTGAATACATCTATTGCTGAATGCTCCCCCAGTCGGGACGGTTCGGGACACTGGATCAAGACCGATGAAGACTGTAAGTTCGTTTTCCTCTGCGTTGTTTGAATCCACAGGATTGGTAACAATGCCTTGTTTGAATAGTTGAACCCCCGTCTCTTCTTGTGCCGAAGTTTCTGAACTCGTCTGTTCGTCTCTGTGACTCCAGTTGTGGTACTTGAGATGTGAAACAACCATATCTAGTTTTATTCAACAGGAGCGCTCCCACTTCGGCAGCCCGAACGGTCTAAGTGCTAGCCTGCTTGTGCGACTCAAACTGAAGCGTCAGTGGTCCGAATCGTTCGACTAGGAGCTCGCAGTGTTTCCGACGTGCGACCCGGCGTGAATCAACCAGTGTGTCCCCGACAGACGACGTCGTCGTTGTACAACTCCAGCCGAAGCTGGGATTGTGTCTTTGGATATGCATCTTAAGCATTTTAGCTTGGACTAAGAATCTATCCCCTATCAATCGATGTACTAAAAACCAAAAGGAGGGGCTGTGACGAAGCCCACGTTGCATTTCAAAACCTGCGTCCTCTGCCTAAACGATGAAATCTTCAGCAATTTAATTGCTGGATTGAATGTGGATCGATCCACTGCGCTGAGTCGAGTTCCACGCACTGCCGAGCGACATCCGGCGTGCTCAACTTGTTGGCCCTTGCATGGCCATCTCGTAGGTTAACATCCCCATATTGACACACATCTGATCAGGACATCACTAAACTTTACAAAGCTGGTGGTACATCGGAGCTTTGGCAATTCGGCGTTTCTCTTTTGTTCTTATTTACTAGGTTTCATAGAGCTTGCCTACATCCTAGTGCTCTCTCCGAACGTGTTGGTGATGAACCTCAATTAATTGTACAGTTTATCCATTTCCAGGTGGGCCTACCCCCCATGCTGAAATAATAATGTTGTACTTGATCCTTGCATGGTCTAATCCATTGTATCATCGGTGTTGTTTTGGTGTATTGTGCACAAAGAAAGATTGTGTTGCGTCTTCTCAACAGAGACAGCGTTAATCACATCTGAATTTTGTGACGAGTTTGATGGTGAGATGAAGTATTGTTTGTGATAATGTGGTAAAGAACGCAACGAGTTCGAAATATATTGAAACTAAAAGTGTTCTTGTTTTTTGTTCTGGTGGTTAAATGCCGTGTTTCTATGTTTTAAATTAAAAAAAAAAAATGAATGCTTTACAACAAGAAAATGGTAATAAGTAAAAAAAAAAAAAAAAAAGTATTAGTATTAATTAATTAATTAATTATATTAATTATATTAATTTTTGTATTAGTTATAAAAAAACTAATCAAATTCTTTTACTAAATATATTATTTTATGTAGAGTATTTAAAATGCCATATTATTTTTTAAAATCTAGATTGTAAAAAGAAAATAACAATAAATATGATTTCAAATTTATTATATTAGTACAAGCTATAATTCTATTATAAATTCTTTTAAATATAAGTTAGATATGTAGATAAATCTTATAATTGAAAGAGAAAAAATATATTTTTTTATTCAAAAAATAAAATAAAGAAGACATGTTAAAGTGATGCTAAAATAATATAATTAATATTTTATAATTATTATATGAGTATATTTATTTATTTATTTATTTATTACAACAAAAATATAATGTTATAAAAATTATACTCTTAATTTTGTAGGTAACTGTAGTTAAAATCATATGTATAATCTATTGTATGTATGTATGTATGTATATATATATATATATATAGGAAAATGATAAAGCAATCAAAAAAATTACTAAATCGACCCACATGTTTAAACCATCATTATACCCTCTCAACCCCGTCCCCGTTTCTAGCCATTCCCATGTTCCCAATTGTCACCTCTGTTCTTGACATTCCCAACCTCCCATCCCCATCTTTAGCAAGAGTTGGAAAGGGAGAATGGTTGAGAGTAGGGATGGGGACTGCAAAGGTGCAATGATGGTTAAGATAGAGTGGGTCGCTTTAGAAAAAATTTGGGTCCCTTTATCATTCCTCTCTCTCCATATATAAAAATTTGCAATTTATAATTATTTAATTTAATTTTCAGTTTCTAATTATCATTAGAATATAATAAATTGGTACGTCTTTTCTACCTAAAAATAGTTATTTATTACTTCAAAATTCTAATTGTGTTATAATATTTTCAATCTTATATAAAATTAAAGAAATTTACATATTATATTAATGGACATAAAACATATGAAAAAGAATAAAAAAAATAAATCTACTCTAGCTGGATTCCTAAACATTAATGATCAAATTATCCTTCCAAAGATATTGTAGTATTAATAACCTAATTTAATGACTTGATTAATAAAACAGAGTAATATATGCATTACAATATTATTACAGGTTACAAATCAAGTTAAAAAAAACAAAACCACGATGTTGCGTCAAATCACAACATTTTCACCCGTAGACACCTGTCGATACCCGCTCACGCGCACACCGGGTATCGTAAAGCGTCGGAGACGACAAGTCAAATCCCGGTCCACATAGAGCCGGAATGTTGAGAAGCCACGTCATACAACCCGACCCGGTCTGAAAAAAAGAAAAAGAAAAACTTGACTTTATCCATGGGCAGCCCGTGAAAGGAAGAGGAGAGGAAATTCCTTGAGATACATGATTCAAATTAGCTCTCCGCATGCCTTGGCTCGGTCACCGTGGCCGCGGCCGTGTAACCTGTGGTAGTGGTGCGGCTGCTGCTGCAGAGCAGTGGCAGTGTAGCAGCAGCAGCTGCAGCATCGATGAGGAGGACTATGATGGAGGAGGGGGTTTTGTAAATTGGGTTTCCCTCCTTCGGCTTCGACGCCACAGCTTTCGTGGCCTAAGCCTCGTGCGCTGTCGGTCGTCTTCTAGACGCACGTTTGCGGCTTTTTTTCCTTTGCCGTCGTCCATGCCACTCACCTCGACTTGCCCTCTCCATTATGTTGCTTGCTCGTAGCCTTGACCAAGCTTGACCCCGGCAGCACTCGTTAGCTTGGTTGTGGTGGAGGTAGAGGAGTGGTGGAGGTGGGTTTTATGTTTTTTTCAGTGTTTGGGTGCGGAGATGAGGGGTTTAAGAGCGGGATTTGGAGGTGGAGGGAGCGTTGCGGTGGTGGTGGTGATGGGCGAGACCGCTTTTCGGTATTCTTGGTTGCTGTGAGGAGCGCGGAAGGGGGTTTACGAATTTTGGGCGGAGAGGCGTGATAGGGAGTAGTAGCAATTTGGCGTGAGATTTGAGGGTGAGAAGAGTGAATGGGAGAGATGAATAGGGCTTAATCACGAGGTGCTGAATTCGGTAGGGGGGCACATTTTGCGAGTGGTATGGGTGGCAGGGAGCTGGCTAGGGTGGTTGAGTGTGCATTTGTGTACGGATTTGGGAGTTCTGGACGTTGTTGGGTTGTGTTGTAAGGCTGAAGCAGTGGTCGAGAAAAGGGGGGAGGTGGAGGATGAGGAGATAATTTGGTGTCTATGGAGAAGGGGTGGGTTGCGTGGTTACGGGGAGGCTTGCTTAGCATGGGATTGAATTGGTTTCATGTTTGAGTTTGTGAGCTGCAGCTTCGGGATTGTTTTACATTTTTACCCAAAACTTATTGGGTCGAGAGTGAGACGTGGAATCGGAGAGGGGTTCTCAAAACCTAAGCATACTGGAGTTTTGAGGGCATGGCATCGACCGGACCTCCGTCCACTGAAGTGGATTCTCCTCTTGCCGAGTCCCGGAACCCTACGCCAGCGAAGCTGCTCTCTGCCTCGGATGGGCAAGGATTTCGTCCTGTAGGACTCGCATCGTCGGGGTTGGCCGCAGTTGATACAACAATATCTTTGGGACCAGTTCGTCCTAGTCCAGGTTTAACCAGCCAGGCTCATAGTAATGCCGTACATCAACCTTCGCCCCTGCAACATCACCACCACCAAGGGGGTGGTAGCCAGACAGTGGGCCATTTTCCTGGCTCGCACACGATCGCATTGCCGGCCCATCTCTCTCCACATTTGTCTGGTCAACGCCAGCCTCAACACATTGTAGGGACAGGCGGAAACCCTCGCCAGCATCATCATCCTGTGCAGATGGTTGCGCCCAATGTTGCTTCTAAGATTTCACACTCTCAGGTGCAGATTAGTAGACGAACCCCACAGGATAGATCGATGGAAAGCCGAGCTCATCCAATTGTGACCAGGCCAGTTGCTAACATGGGGCAACCGGTGCAGGGCAGTCCGTCCGGCTTAGGAGGCAATCAGCTGGGAAAGTCGCAGCTGCTGCTACATCGGCCTCAGGGAACTTCACAAGACAAAGTAGGACTTCCTCAGAAGCCAACCGCTTCATCACAGCGGCAGGCTATGCAAAGGGCACACACGCGGACCGCAGGTTGGCAATCTCCCCTTGGGCAGCATGTTCCTGGCACTCCCTCCTCGCAGTCTCGGATGTTCTATCAACATCCTGTTCTCAATGCCCAAGTGATGTCATCTCCGCCAGAGCAAAGCCGGCTGCATCCAACTGGGGTTTCGGTTGTGCCTCAACAGTTTCCCCAGCAGCAGCAATTGCGAGATGTTGGGCCAACTGGTGTGAAGTCCATGCCTGTAAGCATACACGGAATCCTGGAGTGCCTAGTGCATTTGTTAATTGTTCTATGTCGTGATTTGTCAAACCTGGCGCAGTTTTGTTTTTAAAACCGTCCCTTCGAATCTTTGACCCTTCCAGATTTATTTAGTGCAGTTGTTTGTGCTTTGGTACTCCTAGCTCTGAATGGATCCTATTTGCTTTGCAGATCTATCCAATATTGCGGACTCCAGTTGCCGGTAACTACACAAGCAATCATAGCGATACTCCTTACAGGTGTGGTTCAATTTTCGAATTTTGCTGTCCTCTTGCGCCTGCTTCGCCCTTCGAAATCGTGAGTAAAATTTGTGAATATTTACGAGAGGCTCATATGGACATGCGTCATACTTGTCGTTTGCGATTGGAACTTATTCCTGTAACATTTGAATCTGAGATGGAGTTGCATGAATCTGAGCACTCAAAAATCATAATTACTTCACAAATTTGGATATATTGCACAGGGATTTTTGCAATATAGTTGGATGGCCACCGATTTGCAATATTCGTGTTCCTCATCTGTCTGAAGTTCTCCCATTATCTTTCATCGTAAGCATGCATGACAATAGGCGGAGTTTTTTATGACTTCTGTACTTGGAACTTTGGTACAACTTTTGAAGACAAGTCTGTATGTGCAGGGAGCGCTCTTCTGATAGTCAAATTGTTGTGCACATCGGCGATCGAAAAGTAAGTACTCAATTTTTGTATGTTTGTTGATATTTATTTTTTATTGTCCCTGCGGTTTGATCTCCGACTCACGTGTGCTTTCGTATCCATGTACAGGTACGGTTGGCGTCTGAATCAGATCCATCGTCTTTGTACTCTTTGTGCCGCCGCTGGGTTAGGAATGATATTCTGCGCTCAGATAGGGTATGCATCTTTACCATGTTCATGTATAGAAGTTAAACAGTCCTAATATTTCTTTACATGAGTTGCAGTGGAACCTGTCCAAGCGACAGATGAAGCTTACATGCTCTCACTAATTGTCTACATATTTTAAAACATCTAGCCTCTCCCCTAGACGTCTTTGTAATTGAGCTTGTTTTAAACTTGAGTGCTAGTCATATTTTGTGCACTCTGCAATTCGTCATGCATAGTGGTCTGGTTTTTTCAGATCGTATCTAACAAAGACTTCTGGGCTTTCAGGCAGGGACGCGTGATGTAATGAACTTGCTTCTGCCAAAACCTTTGTCTGTTGCCGAGGTAGAAAGTGCTGGAGACCATCCTCATGACAACTGCATCAAAAGTGATGCTGACCAGCCTCAATCGGAAGTATGTAAATACATCCAACTTGGGTATTATACATGGTTCATAATGAGTTCTTAGCCAGAATACTTTCAATCAGAATTATTTGAAACTTCTGATTTTTACTATACAAGAAGCGTGTCATTTGTAACTTGGATTGTACTGACCTTTGTGTTTTCGTCAGATTGAAAAGTCCGTTGATGATATGACCCCTGAAGAATTGCTGCAGTTACATGTACAGCAGTACAGACTTGTTCGCAAAAGGTGATCCTGCACACGTTACTGCATCGTAATGGTTTATTACGGTTGAATGTATCCGTATGTCAGTTTTTTTTATTATTATTATTATTTTTATTTTTTAATATTCTTTCATGTGCTAACCATAAGTACTTGATTGTTGCAGGTCGAAAGAAGAACGAATGCGCAAAATTGCTAGGTTTAAGCCTCGGCTCGCGTTGCTACTGCCTGGCAACAATGAATCGTGTTAATGTGTTCAGCCTCATGTTAAATGTTGTCCGTGATCGGAGAGAAGGCCCTTATGCATCTGGATGTAGGTCCACAATTCAGTTGGACATTTGGCTGTTGATTGACTTGATTTTTACAAATATGTGTATTGTAGCGATTGTCACACAGTTCCTAAGAAACTGTTGGCCTCCAGCCGCCTCAAGTTTGGAAATAAACTAAGGTGATATGAGGGTGCCTACTTTTTTTCCCCAGTGGGATTCCATCTTGGTTCTTAGTCATCGAGGGTAATTTGGCTCCAAACAAGCAGTCATTTGAAGGGCATCTTCCTCTGGATCATTTCAGTCCCTGCAGCTGTTGCCGTGCTGTCCCTGGTATTGCTGTGCAATCCTTTGGTTATGTACTGTAATTCCTCGTCGAACACCTATCTATGGTAACATGGAGGTTACTGGTAACAGGAATATAAATCTTTTCCCTCACTTGCTCTTCGCGTCTCTCCTGGGCGGTGGTAGGGAGCTGGAAGCTAGCACAGAAAAATTACTGTTTGAAGCTAGTTTGAGGCACATAATGATGGCTGCTGAGTCTGAGTTTGGATACAAATTAACAAAAGAGGATTCTTGGGTTCTGTTCATCTGGAGCTAAGACGGTTGTGATCGTCTTACCATGGAAAGACTCAGTCGAGAATCGATCAGAAATCCTAACCTCTAAAGAATGAGACTTCATGAGGATCAAAATATGTTGAAGAAGCGAATAAGATTGTGATTCCCGTCTGCAGATCACTTTCACATGCAAGTGAAATGACAGATCTAGCTGCCATTGCGGTACACTATCAAATGGTGAAGTGTCCCAGTTGCAATTCAGGGAGATTACTTACTTTATATATAACGCACTATTGCTATGGTTTGCGGAAAGCTTAAGTGCAAGGAATTGTGGAAAAATCTACTCTCGAGCAAGTCGGAGAAGCTAGGTAAACAAATGGTGCAGATAAAGAACAGGGTAAAGTTAAGACAATTTTAAATGCACGCAATCAGAGTTTGCACTAAGTGCAAAACTGTATGCCGTTTATTCACCATCCAGGCCCCAAGACGGCTTGACCAAGGCAGTTCATATAACGCATACATTAAGTTTGATTACTGGGAGCAGACTACTGCTAGCAATCCCATCCACAACCATGCATTGTAGGGCAAACAACCACCTTCGGGCATGCAAAACATTCTCACCAATATATTATACATTCAGAGAATCTCCCCCAGAACACACCCTCTAAAATAGGCAAATGAGACATGATAAAACCAGTCAACATCACAATGTTGACAAGCTACTTAGGCTCCAATCTTACAATAATAACACATAGCACTAGATTCCTCACTGCTATATAATTCCCCACTATTGCTCCTGTGACACGATGATTAAGATACACTCTCTCAAAATTCGTGAGACACCTGCATGATGTTAGTTCAATTTTCATTTCTGTAACATCAACATATGCATGCAAAGAAACAAATATTATTTTTCTGTAGTAAAAATGACGAACTTGAAATCAAATCTCAGCTAGAAGGTACTAAATTATCACCAAAGAACATCTGAGACATAAACGTCATAGTTTGAAGAGACAATACAAATCAATTATTTACAACCTACGGATAAAATATCACACTTCACAATATGAAAATAAAATGACCGAAAGTACACTATCACATGAAAGCAGTACGCGAATACAGATTATCAATTGAACGGTAACACAAAGAGCAATCCAAATGTTAAACCCATCAAGGGAGCTTGCCTCCTGTAAAGGTGAAGCTAACGTTAAGAATGATTGTCTGACGTCAACTCGCACCATTATACACCATCAAGCTCCATCGGACTTGAACCGAAATCAGGCTTCTGTTCTTCCAAACACAAGTAGCAAGTAAAACTAGGGACAAGAGGACGCTTACTAGAATAAATGCATGGAGATAAGCCTCCACAAAACAATGATATACAACAATTTTTTGTAACCACCTAGGAGTTCTTCGCTACAACCACCAAGAGATACGATCTACACCCTGCGTATTGACATTCACAGATTGAATAATTCGGAAATAACAAAAAAAGTTCTCATATTCCTCTGCCAATACAAGACAATGAGAATAGACAAATTCAACTCACCTCTGCAAGGCTGAATTCTGGACATACACAAGCAAAACCAGTAACTATAATCATAAGATGATAAATATCAAACATAAAGATGTAAAGGTATGGAACTCGCACCAAGAAACTCAGAAAACTAGCAGCTAAGATAGCTAATAATATCAATAAATATCCAGAATTACAGCACCATGTGCAATGTACAGATAAGAAGACACTGAACACTCATAAGCTACACATGCTTCCGTTCTCTACGAAGGGTCATCACGAGTGACCACTTTTAAAACTCACAGCAACATAGAGATAGGCAGACCAACAATTTTGACACGTCATTAATCAATATAAGCGTTTGTTCAACGTGTGCGAGACACAAGATGTTCTAAAAAGCTTTCAACTTCTAACTTAAATAGAATAACTGTATTTATCTACATCAACAGTCAAGGCATTGAACACCATGTTCTCATGCAAAGTAAGGTAGAACTTCAGATTTAAATGAGCTCAAGCCGTACATGAAAACATTGAGAAATGTTGCAAAACATTGAACTCCCAAGCAAAAAGGGAAAACAGGGGGAGCAAGCAACAGTTCATTACAGCCTCTCTTCGACCACCAAATGGTGGTTAACCAGCAGATCTAAAGCAGGGGCTCAAGAGAATACACAATCATACTGACGTAGGGTCTATTGAATCTCGCCATCCTCGCCAAGTTCTCCATCCTCCAACTCGTCAGGTCCTCCGTTCCTCCTCCCACCATCCCGCCTGTGCCGCTTTTGCTTTGAATCTCCCTCGGAATCTGATTCATGCTGCACAGGACAGGCAGGATAACCTTCAGTTCATAAAAGAGCTTAACTATCCTTAACTCCGAACTTGAGACAGTAAACGACACCTAGTTCTCCCTCAAAAAAAACGTTTAGAACTGTAGTTAAAAATTGTGCGTGCGATTCCTAACTATATCTTAACTAACTAATCTCGACCAAAATACAACTGGGATGACATGGTACTTAATATGCTACAATCAGTTGCTAATGAAACCCGTGTCATGAAGTTCCATGTGATTTTACGACATTAGTGGTTAACAAATTTACAAGCCTGAGCTAACTGGGTTTAAAAAAAATTCAGTACATAAGAATCACAATTGGGGTTTGATCGGAACTAGGCAAGCTGAACCGACTACAATGGTATTTCACGATCAACATGGGAAACTTTAGGCTTCAATAACGTTTTGAATGCATCTCTACTAAAATTTTGACTCCAAAATAGACGTGGATTGATGTCACGTGGACACTTACAGTCAAGCTTATCTACCTTTCTTGAGGATTTTTTATGGTCACTGCCATGCCGACGCGATTTCCTGGAACTATCTCTCTCATCTCGATCCTTATCAGTCGCTACCTCTTCACTACTCCCACTACGATATCTTTTTCTGTGTTTCTTCTCACGTTCCTTTTCCTTATCACGATCCTTATCCTTTTTTCCCTCATCCTTATGAGAGTGATTTGTCACTCCTTCCATTTCATCGACATGTAAGATGGACTTTTCATGTCTAGACTTCTCCTTTTCCTTATCCTTCTCTTTCTCTTTCTCTTTTCTCCTCTCTCTATCCTTATCTTTGTCCTTGTCTTTCTCCTTGTCCTTGTCCTTGTCCTTATCCTTATCTTTCTCCTTATCCTTGTCTTTCTCCTTCTCCTTCTCCTTCTTGACCTGCAGCTGTAAACTTATCATAAAACGGCGGAGAAATCAAC